GCTTGTGCACCTAACAACTTTGCATGGCCTTTGTCCAAACTGCCAGTTCTAACACACGCCCTCTCACATTGACGGATTCTAGTCCTGTCGCCTATCATCAATGCCCCCACAATGTCGCATGTACTCTTGCAAATTAGGATGTTTTAGGTGCACGGCAACAGGAGTTATGAGTTTTCGCCCAAACGTTTATTTCGCACAAACCCCGCCCCCTGTGAGCGGAGTCCGTACTGCCACCCATTGGAGAGTTATGAATTTCCGGTCAGACAAATACACGCACACACACACAACACAGGAACAGACACATTTAGCAGTCTATATAACCACTTCTGAAAATAACAAGTTCAAACTGTCGTTCATACCGTTTTTTCTCGGCGTTTTTTTTTTCTCGTTTTTTCTCGTTTTTCCACTCATAGTCGAGGTAGATCAACTGTTAACAAAGTTGCAGTACGCTCGCTTGGCGACAACTCCCTCTTATAATTAGATATGTCGGCAGCCCTCTTTTTTTCCTTAGATATTCAGCGCGTAAAGGAATTGGTTGGAAAAAGTGAGGATTTTGAGAGGCATATGCTTTGTTATGGAGTATATCATAAGAAGGAGGCAGGAAAGAGGATTACTCCTTGATAGCAACCTTTTTTCCGTGGATTTTCCTTTGCTCTTTGACTGTTTACCTTTAAAGCTAGTCAACTCTTTTTCCTCAGAGACTGTGTATCTTTTTTTTTGAAACTTGGTCATCTTTGTGAGTGATTTCTGTTTTTTTTTTCAGGCTTTTGAGGATCTGCTATGCGACCTAGATATTTGGGCGAGAGCTCCCGATGAACAGCACAGAATGCTCTATGAACATTTTTACGAGCTGATTACGGAGTGAGTTCCTGATGATATTTCTTTCAGGAATTCTGAATTGATGAAGCCGGCAAATTTACGTTCTAAGAAAGTAGCTGTGCAGTTATAATTGCATTTTATATGGCAGCAGTAACAGATGCTTCGCTGCTTAGTATGCGGGTTGCTGTAATAGGCTTTAATCATGGAGTGTGATCTGTCGGTCGAGAGATGATACAGCTACCGCATATGTACATTGGCAATACCTTGAGGGACCAGCATTCTCCAATTCGCCCGCATCCACTACTAGTTGGAGCTTAAAAACGTAGTCTCGGAAGAAGGTCGGCTTAATTCCGTGTTTACGTCTTATGGCGTTCGTAACGCTTGACACCTACTTGACTTGATGTTTGTGCTGTTATGTCCACAGTACGTGTTCCGAAAGTCTCACAAGGTTGGCGATTTATGGATAAAACTTCAGTCTCGGACGGGACTCGAACCCGTACTTGCCCTTTCCGGGTACGGCGCTCTTATCCCTTACACTACCGAGACCACGCTTGCCTTCGCCTTCTTAATGGCTCAACGCGTTGTAGGGTAAGTGCTGTTAGGCTATGGCATATAAGTCATCAAGAAGGCGAGCGCAAGCAGGGTCTCGGTAGTGTAAGGGATAAGAGCGCGGACCCCGGAAAGGACACGTACGCACTCGAGTCCCGTCCGGGACTGAAGTTTTCTCCATAATTCGCCAACTGAAGGGACAATTCACGATAGCATGGTTTCTGATATTTCTCTAATCATGAACGGTGGTCTTCGAGGCTGCCGCATGGGTCGCTGTCGTTTGAAAAGCGCGCTCGATTGGACGTAGTAAGGTATTTGAAGCTGACGTGGCCAACTTGCCCATCGAAAGGTGGCTTTGTTCTGCCTTCGTAAAGGCTACAATCTTCTTCATAGAACGCATACAGTCGGACCGTCAGGTCAACGCCACGCATCCTTCTCTCATACAGTGTTGTAATAATCTTCTTTCTTGCAGTGTTGTAATGATCGGCTAATTCGTCAATCCTTTTCTGGAACAGATGATGCTTTTCCGTGTTTTCTGAATTTGACACAGGACTAATAGAGCGGTGCAACTATCGGATGGATGCTGAATCCTTTGGGGTGGATGTTTCGCCTATGATTAGAAGTTTCGCAATTACCGCTCACTTTTTGCCATTTACTCCACCTTCGGCTCGTATTGAATGGAACGTGCTATAGTCAAGCCAATAGTAAGTACCAAAGGTACTGAGATTGCTTGCTAAGTGACACTTGCTCTCTAAGGCCCCTTTTCATATTATGTCAATTCTTATCAGTTCCTATCACCGAGTACCTTGATCCCGTCACATCCCACATCACCTATTACAATGCCAAGGTTCCACTGCACACGAACGGCGTTATAGTCCAGTGTTGGCTCGTTTTCAGTCCTATCAGTTGTTATTAATCCCCGTCACCAAACAGCCTTTCCTTCACCTCCATCACCACCTACAACAGTCACTCTTATCACGAACTGAGTAGCGGGTTCCATGGTTTCGCCTTTTAAGGCTTTTTAACGGTTTCTATCAATCTTCATCACCTCCTATTACCTACCGTCGATGTTCTCATCCTGCCTCCTGCAACCTCCCGAATTCGAATGCTCTTGCTTCCGAGGGAACAGGAGTTTTGAGTTTCCGGTCAAACACACCACACATACCTTCGTTCATACATGCCCAACACAACACACACCAACCTGCACATGTAACGGGTTATAAAAGTAGGATATTTAAAAAGTGAATACTGTATCCAGAATAGAATAACATATGAAAATGTTACTAGAGAGAGTGAATAATGGTAATGATTAATGTGAGGGTCGCAGCAGTACAAATTTCTGGGCACCTGTATTTAATGCTTAATGTGAATAGCTCCTGACGCAATTCCCCNCCCCGAACTGAATCTTGTTACGTGTACCCCTTTCATACCAGTTCTGCCTTTACAATCTCGTACAACTTCTTATTTTTACTACAGCCGGTTATATGGCCTCACATTTCTTCTAATCCCCCTCTTTCACCCTTTCTTCACCACTCTTGCATTATTCTGCGCAATAACTACCATGTTTTCGCTTAAGTTTCGCTTGCGCTACTATTCTGTCTACTAACATAATCGGTGGGATGAAGCCATACCAACCATGTTAGTGACGAAATTTCGTTAAGAACACGCTCACCTTGCTTTGCATTAAGGAAAGAAGCTAATTGCAAAGTTCGCACACTCGCGCACTGGTCTATTGATGTCTCTTATTGTTGAGTTGATTTTGTAAGCAGATTCAACCAACACTTAGGACTTTGGAGCCAATCGTCGAACCTTTTTGGACCTTGCATTATCATGTTGTGCCCTTCGACAGCTTCATTTGGAGAGGCGCATGCAGATGGTCTACCTCATTACGAACGCTTCTGGTCTTTTTACGATGATTTTCCGAACAGCATTCCGGATAGACAATTTCACCTATTGGAACTTTGCTGCAGATGCTGTCATACTCACCTCATTGCATAACTACGGGACCCCACAAAAATCACTCCTTGATCCGTCGTCAGTATGATGAACTACGCCACAAAAATGTCTATCATATCAGTAGGTCTCGTATCTTTGGGGACTACTCTCATTTATTGCATGAGGAGTCGACCTCATGCTCGGCCGCTAGTTAACACAGGAGAAAAAATTGACAATCACTCTATGTAATGTGATATGAAGGCTACTATTTATCCATTCTCGTAACAAAATGTTTGTGATGGGTTCTATCGCCATTCGAGATCGCCACAGCTGAATGTTTGAAATGAATAGTTCACTATTATTCATAAGTCAACACACCGCAACACGGCACTACATAGCTGCTTTCTGAATGCCTTGTTTATTTGCTGACCTTACGGTTTTTACGAGAAATACTGTCGGAATTGGCGTATGCTATTATTTCTGCCATGAGGTCAGCTCGAAAAATCCATGACTTCCACTGACTTAAAGAATCAGATGTGTTTCAGTCACGAGAGAGAGAATCTGGTCATTGTTCGAAGATCACCACTGTTTTCTCGTTTATTGTTTACAATGCTCGATCGACCTCATCTTCTGTGGTCAACCAATGAGATTGTGTTCAATCTACTATCCGCGATCGTACAACCACAGTGCGATAATCGGAGTATGCTAAAGCTCGGTCAGGCTATCGCAGCCACGCTACCGACAACGTAGGTTTTACCACATATATAAAACGCTTTGTTTGTGCATGTTTGTCCTAGTCCTTCATAAGAGGGTAATCGCTTGGATTGTTACCTGTATCGCACCAAAAAACGAATGGGAACACTTGAGCTCTAATGACAATGAGGGTGCGGACAACTGGGCCAAGAAATTGCTACCGATTGTGACTATTAGGAATGGAACACTGTGAACACATTGAATAGTGTATAGATGTCTGCAAGCTTTTCTCTTTTTGCTAATGTATCATTCAGGTAATTCTAGCAAGTTGCTCTAGAATTGAAATTTGCATAAACCTACGGTGGCATTTAGATACCCGTAGAATGTGTTCGAAATTATGCAGACATTCTGAGATATTCTAAAATTCTTCAATTCTTTATTCCAGAGACGAAGATCTGTTATTGGAGGCCAAATTTCCGTTCCACATTTCGGAGATGCAGAATCAGCTTTTAGCAAATCAAAAACCAGATGAAGGTCTGTCTTTGTATTCTGTTTAATAAGTGCACACACTGATTGATTGGAGCTACTGGGACTGCCTCATACTGTTGTTTCATCCAAGATTTGAAATAAGACTTTCATTTCCTCACGCAAACAATGTTCTAGAAGACCATTAAATGAATGGGCCAACTTTTGCGGTATAGTAGGAACCAACTTCAATCAATTTCTCGTGACCACAAAATATTCGTGTTTATGGAAATCCAGGCAATAATGAAATCATCTTTGATTCAGGAAAGCCATCTGCGTTGTACTTGGTCTACGTAAGGAATCGTATGTTGAACATGATCGCTAATTTTTTGTCGCACTCTAGTGCTCCTCTCAATCAGCAGTGAGTTTTCCGGTTTCATGTTTAGATATGTTGATTACGACAGTTGCTGGCTGTACTCGGAAATGCCACTGTCTTTCAGCATGTCGGAGCAGATAGTTCGTGTACTTGGATTCGACTGGGTTTACTGCCTTCTCTCCCCGGGTGTTCACTCTGGAACAGTATTCCTAGCTCTCCGGATTCTGCTTGCTCTCGTGGCCCATCCTCAATTGCTGGTGAAGTTTCGTGAAGGCACTGCAAGTGGTGGTTGGCTAACGGACGCCGACTCGGTTGTGCGGAATCGAGCTGCTGTAAGAGTTCATTGATTATGACTCCAATTCGTGTGTACTATCGTTACGACATTAGGTTCTTCATGAGAGCGACCACTGGTTCCTCCTATAATTATTAGGTAACTTACTTATATTAAAACGTCAGTTTCAGGTGGTATTGGGTTTCTCTGTGTCTGCACATGGTGGAGCAGTCGGCAGCAAAATAGACATCAATCCTGAGCTGCAGAACTGCGCAGGTTTTGCAGCATTAGAACACCTGATGGCTGCTCATGCAGACAAACCTTATGCGTACATGGCTATGTTAGCAATACTCGTCGGACAGGTTCGCTGACATTTCGATAAATTCGTTGTTTTTGCAATTAGGGACTTGTTTCAAAAAAGTTGTTTTAATCGTGCTGACGAAATTTCTGACGGCAGGAGGAGCGGAAGAGGTCAAGGCAACAAAAAGTTTGAATTATCGAAACAAGAATATACATATAATGAGGTGGTTCATGGACGTTATGCTCATAAGCTATCTCATTTAAAACTTTTGTTCGATTATTTCTAATGAGAAAAGGGATGCATCATCTTGTTTCAGAAAAAAAAGCGAAATTCTCTTCATTTTTCAATTCCTGGTGCTCGTTAAGGGCTAATGCGGCCTCACATAGTCGTCATGAGGCGCAGTACCCGTTTCTCAAACAATACATGCACATTGAAATGAAATTTTGGAAGCAAAGTCGCGGCCACTTTTAAGCCACTCCCTGAATATCATCCCAGGAAACCCGTCGCTACAGCAAACGCCCAACAGTTGCTGCAAGTAGAGGGGAAAACCCTTTGCCGTTCACTTTCAGACTACTAAAATTGAGTGCGATGTCTTCTTCATGGAACAAGTGGAAGTTTGAAGGGCAGTCTTCTGAGGACCTTCCTCCAACTTTCGAGTCAGTTCACAACGCGTTCTTTTGATGGTGTCCAGATGGTCAAAATGCTGCAGTAAAGGCTGAAGAGTTCTGGCGAGAACAAATGCTTTTGAAATAAAGAATTTAATCAGAAGAATACCGCGTAGCTTGGATGTGTGAGCCCCGCCTAGGGCGTGTTTCGCCGAATCATTGGCGGAGGATTGCATTTGTTCCTTTATTAAGGAAGGAGTCGTCTTCACGAAAGAGATGGGGTCGTGGTTTGACATGGTTGGGGAAATTTCATCTTCAAATCTTAGTCGTTTTGTGCAAGGAGTATTGTGACAAAAGGCGCACTATCACTCACGACGGTCACGGGTTCAAATCCCGGATTGATATCCGGCCGAGTCAACCAAGCTTTCCCTTCTTCCGGAGTCGGTTAATTGGTATCAGGCTTGTCTGGCAGGTTAAAGGCACTGCCTTGTACGTCGACCGGCCACCGCAAGTCATTACAATGCGCTATTACGATTCTGAATTGAAATGAAGTGCGGGGCGTATTCCCCAGAAGGGATCGATTAAAGCCAAAAATTTTTCAAGTTTTCGTGGAAATCATCGGAAGAACGAGGAATGATGCTTATCAGTTCTAGAAACGGCATGGTCTACGATGTTATTGTCCTGAACATTATTATCAGAAACATTATTCTTCCACTGCTACCGCATCAGCGTAATATCGCAACAAACTGACCACAAAATTAGACCAGAATCACAAGCTTACGAGTTTTTCACGTTATGCTTTCAGCCCGTAAAAGACCTTCGATTTTGTGAGAACTTCAATATCGACCAAATATGGACGCACGTTTTTGGTCTCGCACTTAATAGGTAAGTATCTTTGTAGTTAAGTGAACTCCCCTTTTAAGTAGTTTTTCACTTCCAGTTCGGTTTACGAGGCTATCAAGTCAGCTGAGTTTTGCTATGATGCTCTTATACCACTTCTGGCGATGATCAGAGCCTGCATTTACTCTGGAAACGAAGTAATTGACATAGATACTGAATATTTTTTTGTTGTTATTTTCATCCTGTATTCTAATCTCCTCTCTAATATGGAATTATATCCCTTACAGGCTCCTCAAGGATGGCATGTTGACTATCCCTCATCGGTTGTACAAATGATTACATTCCTGTACCAGAACTCACCAAACTTTTTTGCAATGGCTCACTCTGAAGAATTTGTGCTTGCAGTGTTCTCTAGTCTTATCCAGGTAAATGGTTTCGGTATTACATCTACAACAAATATATTTCCATGATGGAGGAAAGGGCAAGGTTTGAAATAGCCGCTCTTCAGGACACTAATGCAATGGGTATCAGGACAGAGACGGCTGACAAAAATTTAGCCCTTACACCGGAACTGGAGAAGGTGCAAGCAGGTACTGTGTTTTCAACTAATATTTGCTTGCAATGCCGGCTCTTATGAAGCACTGAGCGAAAGAGATATGGGGTATAATTATTGTCACTTGCCACACTGTTGGGAGAAAAATTTGTAATTGTTACTGTAAATCCTTTGTTGGGCAAGTCAAAAACTTCGCTAATTCTGAGTGTTCTTCTTATCAATGAAAATGATGCATTAATGATAATCACAAACTTCCGGAGAAATCCCGGGTGTTGCCATATCGTCGGGAATCCCTCTTCTTATACAGCAACTCAGTATCGCTAGTTTCATGACATTTTCGTTCACCACTTTGCATTCCGACAGTTACCGTGTGAAGAGCTTTGTTAGAATTTTGACGAAAACTGGAGGAATACTTCAGGTGTTCTGGTTTGATTCTACCAGCACCGGACGACGCACCATTCCCTATCAACGTCATGTCGAATCTCGAAAGTGGGGAAGGAGCGATATATTTGTCTTGCCTAAGAGGGTAGGTAGGCGGGTAGACTTGGCTGACAAGGAGACCAGAGTAGAAGTCGTAGATGACCTGCTCCATTGACCTTGGAGATGCCGTAACTGTTCCAGCAGGACGACGAGAAGAAGTCTGATCGTTCATAATTGGCGAAGCAGCGTCGGGCTTTGCGAATGCTTTTTCCGGCCTAGGTGGCTTCGTTCATTACTGCTTCCTCTCCCGCTTCCCTGCATAGCTTCGCAACTCGGACATCTGCTGATGATTGCCTGTAGTTTGTGTGATTCCATGCTGACGTATCAACTCGATAGTCTTCGGAAAGCGACATCCCTTGTTTATTCGTAGACCGGTCAGGCTATGCACGCTAGCGCGCGCATCATATTAACTGATCTGAATATTCAGTGCTGCAATTTTGTAGTCAAAAGCACCGCTCGTCATAGAAGTTACTCCATGATTGGTTCACAGTACTTTACTACGTAGGGAGGTAAGAAAAGTTCCTTCTATCGCTACTGACAATTAGTTAAGCTCAACATCTTCATGAGCAAACTCCCCTAAAGAGGCCTAGTGATTCTTTCTATCTCAAGGAGAAGCAGATTGCAAGAATGTTCTCAATAAAACTTTATCTCTAAGGGCATATCATTAGTAGAGGCTCCTAGTTATTAGCGATTGGATAAGTTCTGCAGCGAATGATATAAAAGCAAAGAGGAACCCTGACCTCTAATTGAGTCACAAATCTTGCTGGGTAGCGGTCATAATACAACAGCAACAAATGAACTGAACTTTCATTTCTTCATAGCAGAGATGCTTTAATCGGTCCCTATCACTGCATTTACCTCTGACTTTTTCTCACTCTACTTTACCATCCTGTCTTATCGAATGAAACATACTGAAGAACCAAAACTACATATCTTTAACACCGAACTGATTCCTCCGTCGGGTTTCTATTTCGTAGATGGGTCTTGCTTTCTTGGATCATTTATCAGGTCTTATAAGTTGTTATCAGTTCGACCTCGTCACATGTCTTCCTACCACCTACCGTGGGTGTTCCCATCCTGCCGCCTGTGCTCCCACCAAATTTGAACGTTCTAGGCCCCACAGAGAAAAGAAGGATAATGTTAAATATGATGTTGTGACACTCAAAACTTCTTTCAGTGCTGTCGTTACCAAGCGTAAAAGCAGTTCTCGACTTTTTGAAGAAGCTGTTTTGTGATGATTTTCAAGTTGCTCCCGGAAGCCGGGTGGATAGCTTAATAGACGTTATCACGGAGGTCAGTTTTCAGTAAATAGTGTTAACTCCTTGATGGCACATTAACTGAGATAGTATGTCTTTAGAGCATAACCGAAAATGGTCGCACGAGAAAATCACAAATTGTTACGTTAACAGCTCTTATACATGGGGTAAAATTTTGCACTTGCTTCCGCTTAACATTCGCCAAGAAAGATTCTTCTAGGTCTTTGAGCACTTGCTAAGCACTGATCTCTTGGTCTCATCATCCCTTCCTCTAAATGCTCCTCCACAATCATTGGCTCAGGTCAGTTTCATTGCAATCAGCTATTTCTCGTGGATTATTGATGTCTTTCACAAATACTGGAGAAAGGTGTTGTAGGTGGGAGTCAATATTTCGTACATGGCTCATCGTTCAGTTGACTGCCTTTGGAACGGTTTCATAGTTGGTGAACCACTTAGATTACTGCAGCTTCTTTACAGCGTATATTCCATTGCTAGCAGGAAGGAGAATAAAGTGAGATTCGTATTTATACTTTACCTACATCTTTTCGTTCCGGATCGTAGTTTTCTTTTCAGGAAATCAATTTGGATAGTTTAACGTCTTCCATTATGCGGTGTGTGCTATATATCCTAAGTCGACCGATTGAAAATGTACAAGGTAAGACCCTTGAGCGCGATATCTGCGCCGACTGCTTTTCTGGTTAGGGTTATTTTCCTCTACCATTCCCGCAACAATCGATCATCAAATTTGTGCGCATGTGCAAATCGTGCTCATGTCGTGGGAACTGCAGCAAATAAATTTAGATTCAGTAGTGAAGTGCGGTGTGATGTCTTCCAAAAACAAAGGTTCTGTACCTCTTCATAAGCATGCTGTAATGAATTGAGTCGCGCTTGGATTTGTTTCTTTAAAAAGATCATTATATCCAAATTTTTGCATGAGAGTTTGAATCAGCAGTTCTGATTTTTTCTGCTCTACTATGAGAATCAGGCAGAAGAGGGGAGGGGACATTAAGAAACTGGTTACATTTTAAAACATGGGAAATCAGGCCAACCAAAACAAAAAATAGTTCTCAAGTCAACATAAAATATACTGCACTGGAGGCTGCGAAAGTCGATGTAGTATGAAAAAAAATTTCTCACAATAGGGAAGACACACCCACTTAACGCATCTGCTCGCAAACTTATTGAAAGAGGATACGCATTCTCGCATTTTTCGAAATGTTGAACAAAAAGTCAGATATAACTATGATGTGGCTATATAGAAATTAGAAGTGGAATCAAGATAGTATAATTCTGATTTTCTTTCGTTTCAACTTTTTTTTTCAAATGTGTTGTTGTAATAATAATAGAAATAAAGTTCCCATATCATAGAATCAATATTAGCTTAGCTGATTCTTACAGAGAAGCTATCAAATTATCAACTATCGAAAGAGTTTGCCTCACATGTTGCTTAGTGGATACAAACAATAAGGAGGATATTTGGAACCAAATTCCTCTCTCTTGCCTTACCTCACTTAAGTGACAGCTGACGCATCCGCCGGACTCGCAACCAATTATATCGATTCTATGGATTTGGAATTTGGCGACCTTATAAAACATGATGGAAAAGGAAAAAAACATAAAACAGAATATTTCAAGCTCTATGAAGTGAGAATCAAAATATCAATGGTTTGAAAAAAATTTAAAGGAATTGTTTTGACAGTTTACATTTGTCTTGCATATTTTATGTACGGTTTTAAACATAGCATTATAGTGATAGCAGTAATTGTAGTGGTAAGGGTAAATAGGCGAAAGGGAAGAAAAGCGAATTGACCTGATACAGAACGAAATCCTTCTCTAGTAGGTAAAAGCTCCATTTTTAAGTCTTTTACAATTCTTTAAATCAGCGGATATGCTTTTTTGCGGACAACGATCAGATTTTGTAGTTTGCTTTGACAAGGGCTAATACTTATGGTCATTCTACAGTTACCTTTTCAGTACAAATGTCCGTATTAGACACGCTATCATCAGTCGTGACGAAGCGTTACATTTTCCTTTCTTCGAACGAGAGTTGGTTCTTCACATCTCTTACTCACCTAATTTTCATGCTAAGCGTAACACCGGATATAATGCAGCAGGACAACGCTCCCCTCGAGAAAGCTAGTGCGCAGGCGAGTTTTATCCCTTGAAGTTTTCAGCATCTTCTTTTATCGTTGCACTTTTGCACAAGTAACTTATAGTCTAGCCTTCCGTATGGCCTTCCGTAATTGCCATAAAGAATGCTATTAGTCCTCGTCTTTTACATGTTAATAACGATTTTAATATTCAGGTTGCCATTTGTGCGTCACGTGTGTGGACAGATGTGATCTCCTCAAAAAAAGCTTTGCTCGAAGAGGCTTTCAAGAGACCCACCGTCTGGTATGTCTGTAGTTCATTATGCATCTCATTTTGTCATTTAGTGAACCGCATCCAGGAATTTTCAGTGAATTGAATGCTGCACGAGCTTTGTTAGCCAATGTGGCAGGTCAGCACTGGCATCAGTTTGTTGACGGCCAGTTATCTGGAACATATCCGAATCATGCGATCTCAAAAGATATTCAGACGCAAATTAGTTCGGTTAGCATCTCCGGTCTTTTCGATTGTTTTATTCACCTAACAGGGAATATTACCATGCTTAGGTATTTTGCATGACTTCAAAACAGCCAAAATTGCTCATCTCCCTTTTGCACTATTGTGTGCAGCACTATTTTCAATTGATTTGATTATTTGCTGATTTGGAGTAGTATTTTGTAGGTAAACTTCTATGGATCGAACTTGTTTTATTCTTTTCATTATTTATCGAAACTGCTCAAATTTTCACAGAGGTAGCCATTTTTTATAAAATGTGCGAGCTCTGGTTAGTTTCGAATCTCACCCTCCTCACTATGAGATGAACGAGAGATGAGGGAGGGACCGATTGTCACGTGAATTTTTCGCTTTTGCACTGGAATGCGTGTTTTCTAAAACTTCAGAAAATAACTCGAGTCGCTTCTGGTCTTCATAAACTGTCAATGGCAAGTAGAAGAACACTAACCTCACATGGTAGTGTGAGCGCCGTATTGCCATGGAAAAATGTGAGCATTGATAAAGAGGTGGGACAGTTCAGAACTGAATCTTCACACTTGATGAGCCAGGTCTCAGCTCTTCAAACATACTGGCCGGGTGAATTTCTTTAAGGTGGTTCATATGTGGCTACGAGTTCATGTTAGCCTTGTCAAAGAACTGGTGGTTGCCCAAGCGACGCGATATCATGAATGGCATGCGCACTCCAAGAAATGGGCTCTTCATGAATGGCATCAGTTGGAAGCTGAGTTGACACGGGAGCGTGGAATATGGGGGCCTGAAAAGGTATCGTTATTCAGGTCTCACAGTATTTTTACCTGTTTTCAATTAATTATATAAAAACATGAGAGCAGTGTCTCTCACTTGTTCCCTCCGATTCCACAGCAAGTTTTAGGCATCAGTACTGGACAAATACAAGCTGGATACCACGGAAGGTCCGTCGCGTACACGCCGAAAGATGATACCAAATAGATTCTTCTACCATGCTTTTCCCTATCGTCCTCATTTAGATGAGCCGAGTGCGGTAGGTGGAAAATCATTTTTCATTTCTAAAATATTGTGGGAAAAAAAGCGATACTACTAATGATGCAGATTATTTAGAAAGCAATGCGTGCCAAAGTAGCGATTTCTCGCGATAGTGAGTTATACTACAATGCGTGTCGACGGCGACGTGGACGAATAATGGATTCCCGTATAATCGACTATTCGGTTGCCATTTCAACGCCGTCCGAAGAGAAGCCGGCCTTCACATTTTGCGATTTAGCGCGTACGTGCCCATTCTTCAAGAGTAGATCAACTACAAGACTCGAGAACTTTAGTGTATTTTTTGAAAATAAGCTATGAATTGTAGAAATAAAATAATTTATGATTGTAGAAATAAACTCGTCGCTCATTCGTCGACTCTCGGCTCGTCCACATATCGATGCACCTCCATACCAATGTTTGGAAGATAATGGTAAAGAAAATGGAAATGGCGAAGAAAACGGAGCAAAGGTAAGCTTTTCCGGGAAGCATTCATGCGTGCTTTCCTACGTCTTTCTACCACAATTAGCTCTAATTTATCATTCTTCGAAAATAGGAAACATCGGTAGAACTTGAAGAGGAGCAGCAGGACGAGTCCTCAGCGAGTGATAAGCCGATGTCAGAAAGTCGCGAAGAAGTGAAAGAGGAAGAGAAAAGGGATACTGAAAACAGGAAGAAGCGAGGTCCGGATAATCAGACGCTTTTACGTTTACTGGAGCAAGGCGAGCAGCTGCATAGCATGTTTCGTTGTGCTAGGATTCAGGTGAGTGAGTCAGAGCTGTTGTTCCGATCAATTCTACATTGTTCCTCGGTTTTCAGGGGCTCGAAACCTCTGAAGGATTATTACTTTTCGGTAGAGAGCACTACTACGTCGTAGACGGTTTCACTCTTTTGAAAACAAGAGAAATACGTGATCTGGATTTCTTGAGCTCGGAGTACGTCATTCTTTGAATTGTTTGAGGCAAAAAAAACTTTTGTTTTATCACATGCCGCCGAATTCCATTTCGAGAGGTTCATGGTGTGAATCTTGTTTCAACGAAACACTTTCAGGCTTCATGATCCAATCGTTCCATATACTGCCACGGGCGCTACCCATCCACCTCGAGCTTCACGCCTTTGTAGTAAATTTAGTTACGAGGATATTAGAGAAGTCCATAAACGGAGGTTAGGTTTTTGAAGTCGTCTTTAGACCGATTCGAGATCTCATCTGTTGCTATACATTCTTGTCTGAATCGTTAATACGATCTACGAAGCTCACCTGAATTGAAAGCCTCTAAGTCAATTACTGAGTGTTACAGGTATCTCCTCCAGCCGATTGCTCTTGAGGTATTCAGTGCTGATGGCCGCAACTACCTGTTAGCCTTCCCCAAGAAAATGCGTGATCGAGTGTATGAGAAGTAAGTTGTGACACCACAATATGTTTCTGTTTGTCTATGTCGTTACTGATAGGCTTCTGTCAATGGCGAAGGGTTTGAACGCTGGTGGCACAGACTCTGTCGGTGGTCAAAAAGCAACTATGGCGATTGAGCAAAGTGGTAGATCGTCGCTAATTAATTCAATAATTGGTACGTTCCTTCGCCACAATCTGCAGAGTAGTGTTCCTTTCAATGAATATCAACTTAAACTCTAAAAAAATTATTAGAATTCGTTGAAGTTTGCTATTGTCTCCTTCATCCTTCCCCTCCTACAAAGGCAGGACATCAGTGGCAATTCAAGATGAGGTGTACCTCCGTATTTGCATTTGAATCTATCCTTTAAAATATTCTCAACGACTTTGGGAACAAAGTTACGTAATCGTTTTCTCCCTGAGTTATAACAATGTATTACACGGATAAGCGAATCAAGTAGATTTTCATCTTGCAACCCCGAGTGGTGAAACGGCGGGCTCTTGTAAAAGACATTGAGGTGTGGATGCTTGGTAGAGGTTTTCCTTGCGGTTAGCGGCGTCTGCGAAATTCGCTGTGGGACCACAATACCGTAACCCGCGCTCATCTACTGTGGTAGACTTCGTGAAATGCATGAAATGAAAGTCAACTTTCCGTCTTTACCCTGCTAATAGGAAGACATTTAATCGAACATTTAACGCAAGGTAAACTACCTTCCATACCTACGATGTGAAAAAGTGTTCTGAGTGTGTTGGCTGATATATAGTGGTAGATCGTAGAAAGTGTTTTGGCTGATATATACAAAACACCGAGTGGTGAACCTCACCACTCGGTGTTTTGTATATATCAGCCAAAAAACGTTTACTATTCTAATTCCGTTTCCCAAAATGCAAACAAACAGTGCAAGGTCATAGTACATGGGTCAGGTCACACGTACTATGAACGAGCCTAAAGGCGGTAGTGGTTGACAAACAAAAAAAAATGGCCAATTTTGCCTCTTTGTCGGTAAATCCGTATCTATGTCCGTAATGAAAACACGAGATCAAATTTAGGCCAGCTGCAACTAAGCACATGAGCGTGGGTTACGGTATTGCGGTCACACAGCGAATTCCGCAGACGCCGCTAATTCCATAGATAGCACATTTCCTTGCCTCCACCGACCGCATAAAGTTGCACCTCCATCTAGAACACTCAGTTGGTGTAACAAAATCTGGCAGCTTCGTACGGAGGCACGATTTTGAATACGCAATGTATATGACTGCAGTCTCCTCCCTAACAAAAGTTCGTTTTAATTAAAGTAAAACTACAGGGAGACTCCAACGAATTAGTGGATGATGACCGAAATCGCGGTCCGCGCACTTAGGTTGATTGTGCGACCTTTACGCGTACTTTCCTCTTTCCTCATGTTCCCTATCCTCCACCATATCACTCAAAATTGTCGCTAATGTGCAACCATTTCACGATTTTTGATAATGCGAGCCGCTTTGGTAAATGACTCCACCTTTCCCGTCTGTGAATCTCGGGTCACAGGTCTTTTTGGGTAATCCGGATTATGACGAAAAAGACGAAGGAACTGCGTGAACCAATGTTTCCAAAGTGAAAAAATACTTCGAAAATTGTTAAAAAGGGGGCTAGACGAGAATGAGACCAGAAGAATGAAGAAATGTGGGGCGTTTGGACGAGCTATACAATGTGGGTTATTCTCGGGTTATGGGTCCGACTAACTAATCAATGGGAAGCAGTGCTTGACGTAGATGGTGAATAAGTTCCGTAGTAATTATTTGAATATGTCTTTGCTTAGTATTATGTTGATGCATAATTAATGCGGATTTATTCGTGGCTTTTTTTCTCTCGGTAGAATTTGAGTACTTAGTTCGGGTTTTTTCTAGAAATGTTCTACTTGACTTCCTCTACAAGACTATGCTCA